ATGCCTTCAGCCCCAGAAATGGTGGAGGAGAAGCCATGGGTGGAGGAGCCTGAGGGAGAAGAGGAGAAGGCCATTCCACTGGTGGATCTGCTACCCAGGCCATCACCGGAGGTACCACCTTCTCCTGTTCTAAAGGCCCACCTGGCTGTAATTAAGAAAACAAAAATGAAACAACTCTGTGGTCTCCTCAGGGGGAGGAGGTGGCCCCTCCCCAGGTTGGGGAGCCCTCCATGCTCCGCCCCTATGCCCAGGAGGAGCTGGTGGACATGAGCATCCGGTATAGGCAGAGGCCATCACATCTCTTCCCACATGGCTTTTACGTCTCTGGGATATGGGGGTGGAAAACGTTGTTGTGTCGGTACCGAGATGAGTAGAATGGCTTCCCTGACGACTCACCCTTCCCTCCCGCAGGGGTTGCAAAAGGCCCATCAGGCCTCAGGGAATCACACTCCTGGAATGGCTGACAGCTGCCATCAGGGTAGTTCGGCCTAATCGGGGTGACTTACCATATTCTCCTAGTAGTTAGAAAACATATGCAGAACTCCAACAGGTACTGCAGGAATTTTGGGTGTGAAAAATATCATCTATGATATGGACCCCAGGGCCTTGATGAGGAGGTGTTCACCGTAGGAATGAGAACCTGGTGCCGCACACAGCTCCCACATCTCTCCTTGGGTCCCTAGCGAATACTCTTGCCCCCCACCTAGGGCAACACATAAGGGAGGCTACTCGTACTAGAGCAGATCTGGGGGAGGTTGAAACAATAAGGGCATGGAGGGAAGTACAGGCCATGAGTGAAAGGGGAGGTGCAAGAGGCCCCGTGAAGGTCTCGAGGACCCAGATGTGGGTTGATTTGATAAAGGCCGGGGTAGTGAAAGAAAATCTCAATGGGCAGCCCAACGGAATATTGTTATAACAGCGGCACCAATTAAAGCCAGAGCAGCAGCAGTTCCAGCTGCTGAGGTCCAGGAGAGGAAACCAGAGTTAAGGCCTCATGCCCGGCCTGTGTCCCTGCAAAACTTCATAGGAGACAGTACTCAGGATTCGCCCGAGCCCTCACCCCCACGGGAGAATGATTGGGCATCGTGGTTTGACTGAGGGGGGTGGTTGTCAATGCCCCACCTTGGGGGACATGGTGGAAACCGGAGGCCACATGTAGAATTAGCAATTCATTGGTCCCTGTGAATGTGCAACGTGTCCTGGAGCTGGTGGACACAGGAGTTGAGTGTTCTCTGATTCATGCCAACCCTGAGCGTTTCCCCAGGCCCCCTGCTGTGATAGATGGCTATGGGGGTGAGGCAGTTGGAGTGAAGAAAGCCCAAATCCCATTGGGGATAGAGCATTTACCCCCAAAGGAGTATACTATGTGCATTTCCCCCATCCCTGAATATATTTTGGGGGTAGATATCCTGCAGGGCCTGTGGTTACAGACCACTGCAGGTGAGTTCAGACTGAGGGTACGTGTGGTAAAGGCAGTTCTGAAGGGACAGGCTAAGCACCCACTTGCAGCTCTGCCTGAACCGCGGTGGGTGACCAATACTAAGCAGTATAAATTTCCTGGGGCACAAGGAAATTGGATAAACCCTACAGGAGTTGAAGAGGGTGGGCATCATAAAGCCCACTCATACTCCTTTTAATTCCCCAGTGTGGCCAGTGAGAAAGCCAGACAGTTCCTGGCATACGACCATGGGTTACAGGGGACTGAATAAAGTCACACCCCCTTTGCATGCTGCTGTCCCCTCTATAGCATACGTTCTGGACACCCTCAGCCATGAGCTGGGAACGTATCATTATGTCATAGACCTTGCTAATGCTTTCTTCTCTATTGACGTAGCACAGGAAGCCAGGAACAGTTTGCTTTCACGTGGGAGGGCCGGCAGTGGACATTCACTGTCCTTCCACAGGGATACCTCCACAGTCCCACCATCTGTCACAGACTTGTAGCCCGGGACTTGGCCACACGGAGGAAACCGCAAACAGTGCAGTTGTATCACTGCATTGATGATATTATGCTCACATCTGATTCTCTTTCAGGTTTAGAAGGGGCAGTTGCAAGACTGTTGCAACGCCTACAGGAAAAAGGACGGGCTGTGAACAGCACCAAGGTTCAGGGACCCGGTTTGTCTGTGAAATTCTTGGGGGTTGTCTGGTCAGGTAAATCGAAAGTTGTTCCTGAAGTAGTCATAGACGAGGTCCAGGCCTTCCCCACCCCTACCACTGTGGCAGTATTACAGGAGTTTTGGGTCTTCTGGGCTACTGGAGAGTGTTCATCCTGCACTTGGCACAAATTCTGAAGTCCTTATACCGGTTGGTATGAAAAGGCATCAGGTGGGACTGGGGTGAGACATGTGCAGCTGCTTTTACTGCTGCCAAGAGCACAGTTAACTCCGTACAGGCCTTGAGTGTAATGGACTCACCAGGGCCCTGTCACCTAGATGTTCATGTAACCGAGGATGGTTAAGGATGGGGTCTTTCGCAGCGGCTTGAACAGACACACCAACCTATTGGATTTTGGTCACAACTATGGAAAGGAGCAGAGGCCTGGTACACCTTGACAGAGAAGCAACTGGCTGCTGTGCACCATGCCTTGCTGCTACCGAGCCCATTGCTGGAACAGCTCCAACCAAGGTAATAACCACCTATCCCATCGCAGGGTGGGTGAAGGACTGGACACAAAGGCCACAGAGTGGTGTGGCACAGACACATACACTGACCAAATGGGGCACATATTTACAGCAGTGCAGCGCCCTCTCTACTAGCCCCTTAAGTGGAGAACTCCAATGCTTATTGGGGCCAGTGATCTATACCAGGCGAAAGCAGGAAGAACTTGCTTTTCAGCCCTTGGAAGTCGAGACTCCTTATCAGGAGGGAAAAGCCCCTATACCTGAAGATGCTTGGTACACAGATGGCTCCAGTCGTGGGCAGCCCCCGAAGTGGAGGGCTGTGGCTTCCCATCCCAAGACTGAGACAATATGGATGGAGGATGGAGAGGGGAAGAGCAGCCAGTGGGCTGAGTTGTGGGCAGTATGGCTCGTGATCACCTTGGAGCCCTCCCCCATAGCTGTCTGCACTGACAGCTGGGCCATCTATCAGCGCTTGACCCTGTGGTTGCTGACATGGTACCATGCCAACTGGATGGTTGGTCACAGGCGCCTTTGGGGGCGAGAGTTGTGGCAAGACCTATGGGCCTCTGTTCAGACTAAGACTGTTACTGTATATCATGTGACTGGCCATTTGCCTTTGGCATCCCCAAGGAATGATGAAGCGGACACACTGGCCCCGGTGTGCTGGCTACAAGGAAAGCCTGCCTCCGATGTGGCCCAATGGCTATACCAGTGTTTGTTGCACACGGGGCAAAAGACAATGTGGGCTTTAGCCCATAGGTGGGGCTTGCCATTGACCTTTGAGGAAGTCAGCAGAGCCCGGAAGGAGTGCCTTGTGTGCTCTCAGGGGGACTTACACCGAGTCCCACAACAACATGGGACAATAGTAAGGGAGCCAATACCCCTTGTCAGGTGGCAAATAGACTATATTTGGCCTCTGCCCATATCAGAAGGATATCAGTATGCCGTGACTTGTGTGGACACAGCTACTGGACTATTGGTTGCTTTTCCTGCACGTTGCACAGATCAGGAAACCACCCAGAGGGGCCTGGAGCATCTCTTTGCAGCCTATGGCCGGTCGCAGGTGATTAAGGGTGATCAAGGCTCCCACTTTACTGGCCATGCGTTACAAGAAGGGTGCAGCAATTAGGAACAAAGTGGAAATTTTATGTACCATATAATCTTACTGGGGCAGGCATGATAGAGAGGTCCAATGGTTTGTTGAAATCTGGCCTGAAGTCAGACACCAATAGTCTACGTGGTTGGTCAGTTCATTTATGGACAGTGCTGCAGTGTTTGAATGTAGCAGCCAAGTAAAGGAGCCTTGAGCGCTGTGGATATGCTCACACACCTTGATGTCTCTCCTATACAGTTGTACTTCCAAACCAAAGTTATTGAAGCCAGGATATGGCCAGCAGAACAACACCCTGCTGCCAGCCCCTACTGCATTAAGCCCTGGAGACACTGTTGAATGGACCTGGCCCTGGACATTTTGACACAGGGACCAGCAATGGCTGGCCTTCTGGCATCTTGGGGGAAAGGCCTGGAAGATGGCTTCCTGTGTATTCCTGGAATAACAGCTGAATGGCCCCCAAACGTCACCGTAGTGTATCCAATATGTCCAGGAGATAAGAGCACCTTACGGGGAAGTTTTGTTTTATCTTTATGACCAGTACATGCACCTCCCATACCCCTATATACTGACCCATCTGTAACTCCCACAGGGAGGGGGGTGAAAGTCTGGTCACTAGACCAGGACGAGATTCCATTCCTGCCACTGTCCTATCACAGGACCCCTCTTCTGCATGTATCCTACCTGATGGACAAGACTTGCATATGCTGGTGCCATTAAACCATGTATCTTACTACTGTTAGGGTTATTTTCTCCTAATGTCCTTGCAGCCTGAATGCGCTCCCTGGCTACAGCTGCCGCGTGATGATTGCTCTGAACCCTCAGCTACTGCCTCCCTATGAAATGGACAAGCTATGGACTTACTCTGCGTAAGACACGGAACCTGCCTGAATCCTCCACCTTGATGATTATCATGATTTTATTGCCGTTCCTATTGTTATGTCATTAGTCTGGTCACAGTGCTCCACTTTTCTTCCCTAGGAACCACTGCAGAAGAAGGGGAATGAGTAGATTGTAAGTGAGATTTCTGGAGACGTGGTAGGTAGGTAAATCTATAACATTTTCAGATTAACTCTCTCAGCTATGGTAAATTTTCATATCCTCAGAAGTGAAAACAAGTTCATCTCCATGTCAATGGGAAATTAGCTGGGCCACAGAAGGCCTATCTGAAATATTCAGTTTAACGGGAAAGGGTGGCTTGGTTGCTTTCTTCACTGCTTCCAGAAAACAGTAGAAACATGGCCCTCGATTTAGTAAGCGAAAAATGGGTTTTGAAAACTTTATACCTGACTTTCACATATACCGATTTTTAGACGGATTTTGCCTGGCATTTCCTCTGCCCAGACATTCACCATTCAATCAAAACACACAGTGAGAAAGAGGAGACCAGTCTCGGGGTCCTCCACGCAGCGCTCCAGCAGCTGCCGGTAGGTGAGGTTCTCGTGCGTGCTGGGGTCGAAGAAGCCCCTGGTGTCGTCGCCGGGGTCCGCCAGGACGCGGCTCATCTCCTCGTCGAAGTAGCCGCGCTCGTAGGCCACGTGCACGGGCAGGCGGTGGCTGTGCACGGGGTCGATGATGCCGCCCGTGGCGATCTGGGCCTCCAGCAGGCGGATGCCGTGGTCGCGCACGATGAGGTCCTTCTTCATGGCCTGGAACAGGGAGAGCCGCTCGCCGCTGTAGGGGTCGGTGTAGCCGGTGACGGCGCGCTCGGCCGACAGCAGCTTCTCCCGGATCTCGCCGCCCACCACGCCCGCGGCCACCGCCTCCTCCACGGACAGCCTCTGGTTGCGCACGGGGTCGATGACGAAGCCGGTGGCCGCCTGCGCCTCCAGCAGCACCAGGGCCGTGCCCGGCCGCAGGACGCCCTTCCACATGGCCTGGTAGACGCTCATCTTCTCCTGCCGCCCGGGCTCGTCCTTGGCGGGCGCCAGCACGCCCGCGATGCAGCTCGTGCCCTCCAGGTAGCGCTTGACCGAGTCCATCTCCGTCACCTCCTGCGGGGTCTTGGTGCCCTGGGCCAGGTCCCGCAGGGTCTCGGGGCCCAGGATCCCGGACGTGCGCAGCTCGGACGCCGACACCTGGCGCCTCAGGCCCCGGAAGGACAGTTTGCTCAGCCGCTCCTCCGCCTCCTCGATGACCTGGGTGAGGGTGGCGACGAGGGCGGGCAGGGCCAGGGCGCCGGCCGCGTGCTGGGCCAGGAGCTCATCCCGGCGGGCCTGGCTCAGGTAGGAGGAGGAGAGGACGTCCCACACGGAGACCCGCTGGCCCCGGAACTGCCCGGCGTGCACCTCCATGGTGGCGGCACGCAGGGCCTGCTCCCGCAGGCGGCCGGCGGCCTGGGCGTCGGCCCCGCCCGCAGAGGGCCGGGCGTCGCCGTCACCACGACCGAGCGGGTCGGGCTCCTGCGGGTCGGAGGAGGCGTGCCCCTGTGCGTGCTCGGACCCGTGGGCCGCCTCGGCCTCCTCGATGATGGCGGTCAGCCGGCGGGTCAGCGCGGGCAAGCCCAGCGTCCCCGAGCCGAACTGGGCCAGCAGCTGCTCCCGCGTGGCGCCGCCCACGTAGCTGGACGCCAGCACGTCCCACACGGGCTGCGCCGGCCCCCGCAGGCGTCCCACCTTGACCTCCATGGTGGCGGCACTCAGGGCCCCCCGAGGGTCCGGGGGGGCCGGGAGCGGGACCCCGTCCTCGGCCCGGGCCGGCAGCGAGGCGAGGGCGGCGGCCACCCCCTGCGCGGTCAGCGTGCCCGCCTGGTACCTGAGCAGCAGGTCCTGCCGCAGGCTCTCGGGAACCTCCCGATGGAAGAGGAGCTCCCAGACGGAGAGGCTCTGGCCCTGCAGGGCGCCCGAGCCCGGCGTCACGCGGGCGTCACGCAGGGCGCCGCGCAGCTCCTCGCTCAGCTGGTGCACGGCGGAGTCCCGGCCGGCCAGCTGCAGCATGTAGAGGCCCGTCTCGGGGTCCTCCACGCAGCGCTCCAGCAGCTGCCGGTAGGTGAGGTTCTCGTGCGTGCTGGGGTCGAAGAAGCCCCTGGTGTCGTCGCCGGGGTCCGCCAGGACGCGGCTCATCTCCTCGTCGAAGTAGCCGCGCTCGTAGGCCACGTGCACGGGCAGGCGGTGGCTGTGCACGGGGTCGATGATGCCGCCCGTGGCGATCTGGGCCTCCAGCAGGCGGATGCCGTGGTCGCGCACGATGAGGTCCTTCTTCATGGCCTGGAACAGGGAGAGCCGCTCGCCGCTGTAGGGGTCGGTGTAGCCGGTGACGGCGCGCTCGGCCGACAGCAGCTTCTCCCGGATCTCGCCGCCCACCACGCCCGCGGCCACCGCCTCCTCCACGGACAGCCTCTGGTTGCGCACGGGGTCGATGACGAAGCCGGTGGCCGCCTGCGCCTCCAGCAGCACCAGGGCCGTGCCCGGCCGCAGGACGCCCTTCCACATGGCCTGGTAGACGCTCATCTTCTCCTGCCGCCCGGGCTCGTCCTTGGCGGGCGCCAGCACGCCCGCGATGCAGCTCGTGCCCTCCAGGTAGCGCTTGACCGAGTCCATCTCCGTCACCTCCTGCGGGGTCTTGGTGCCCTGGGCCAGGTCCCGCAGGGTCTCGGGGCCCAGGATCCCGGACGTGCGCAGCTCGGACGCCGACACCTGGCGCCTCAGGCCCCGGAAGGACAGTTTGCTCAGCCGCTCCTCCGCCTCCTCGATGACCTGGGTGAGGGTGGCGACGAGGGCGGGCAGGGCCAGGGCGCCGGCCGCGTGCTGGGCCAGGAGCTCATCCCGGCGGGCCTGGCTCAGGTAGGAGGAGGAGAGGACGTCCCACACGGAGACCCGCTGGCCCCGGAACTGCCCGGCGTGCACCTCCATGGTGGCGGCACGCAGGGCCTGCTCCCGCAGGCGGCCGGCGGCCTGGGCGTCGGCCCCGCCCGCAGAGGGCCGGGCGTCGCCGTCACCACGACCGAGCGGGTCGGGCTCCTGCGGGTCGGAGGAGGCGTGCCCCTGTGCGTGCTCGGACCCGTGGGCCGCCTCGGCCTCCTCGATGATGGCGGTCAGCCGGCGGGTCAGCGCGGGCAAGCCCAGCGTCCCCGAGCCGAACTGGGCCAGCAGCTGCTCCCGCGTGGCGCCGCCCACGTAGCTGGACGCCAGCACGTCCCACACGGGCTGCGCCGGCCCCCGCAGGCGTCCCACCTTGACCTCCATGGTGGCGGCACTCAGGGCCCCCCGAGGGTCCGGGGGGGCCGGGAGCGGGACCCCGTCCTCGGCCCGGGCCGGCAGCGAGGCGAGGGCGGCGGCCACCCCCTGCGCGGTCAGCGTGCCCGCCTGGTACCTGAGCAGCAGGTCCTGCCGCAGGCTCTCGGGAACCTCCCGATGGAAGAGGAGCTCCCAGACGGAGAGGCTCTGGCCCTGCAGGGCGCCCGAGCCCGGCGTCACGCGGGCGTCACGCAGGGCGCCGCGCAGCTCCTCGCTCAGCTGGTGCACGGCGGAGTCCCGGCCGGCCAGCTGCAGCATGTAGAGGCCCGTCTCGGGGTCCTCCACGCAGCGCTCCAGCAGCTGCCGGTAGGTGAGGTTCTCGTGCGTGCTGGGGTCGAAGAAGCCCCTGGTGTCGTCGCCGGGGTCCGCCAGGACGCGGCTCATCTCCTCGTCGAAGTAGCCGCGCTCGTAGGCCACGTGCACGGGCAGGCGGTGGCTGTGCACGGGGTCGATGATGCCGCCCGTGGCGATCTGGGCCTCCAGCAGGCGGATGCCGTGGTCGCGCACGATGAGGTCCTTCTTCATGGCCTGGAACAGGGAGAGCCGCTCGCCGCTGTAGGGGTCGGTGTAGCCGGTGACGGCGCGCTCGGCCGACAGCAGCTTCTCCCGGATCTCGCCGCCCACCACGCCCGCGGCCACCGCCTCCTCCACGGACAGCCTCTGGTTGCGCACGGGGTCGATGACGAAGCCGGTGGCCGCCTGCGCCTCCAGCAGCACCAGGGCCGTGCCCGGCCGCAGGACGCCCTTCCACATGGCCTGGTAGACGCTCATCTTCTCCTGCCGCCCGGGCTCGTCCTTGGCGGGCGCCAGCACGCCCGCGATGCAGCTCGTGCCCTCCAGGTAGCTTTTAAGCTCTTTGGTGTTTTTAAGGTCTTCCAGTGACCGATGTCCTCTTTCCAGTTCCTCTAGTGTCCTTTTGGTGATGATATCTGAATGTAACAGCTCAGAGGCTGTGATCTGTCTTCGAATCCCTCTGAACCATAATTGTTTTTCATTCTTCTCCTTTTCATTGATTATTTCTGAAATAATTTTTGCCACATGGTCTAGTGCATGTCTGAAGTCCGATCTGTACTTTCCTGCTATCTGAAGCTTCTTGTCCTCTGTCACATATCTGGTGTTCAAAAGATCCCACACTGACGGCTTTTGGTCTTTGTACCTTCCCTTGGTGACTTCCACCCACTCAGCCTCAAGCGCTCTTCTTGTCGCCTCTTCTATGTACGTGCAGTCCTTCCCTCTGCCGACGACAGGGAACAGAGCCCAGCCTGTCCCTGGTGCCCGCGTGCTCCTCTCCTGTAGCTCCTGGTATGTGACCTTCTCTTGGGTGTTGGGATCCACAAACCTTTTATTTATGCATTTATGATCCGATACAAGTGCACTCATGTCCTGGGCCAGACAGCCACGTGTGTAGGCTGTGTCCAGCGGGACCCGGTCGTGGTGCAGGGGGTCAACAATGCCCCCCGTGGCCACCTGCACCTCGAGCAGTCTAAGCCCCTCCTCCCAGTCGACTAATTTCCGTTTCATGGCCTGGAACAGGGAGAGGGCGTCTCCAGTGGCCGGGTCCACGTAACCTTTGGCAGCCTTCTCAGCATCTAGGAGCCTCCCCTTCAACTCTGTCCCAACCAGTCCAGCAGCCACAGCCTCGTGCACAGAAAACCTCCGGTGGGTGCAAGGGTCCAGTATGAATCCTGTGGCCGCCTGTGCCTCTAGGAGCTGGGCTGCAAACCCGATGGGGATCAGCCCTCTTCTACTGGCCTCATAGAAGCTCATCGCCTCATGTGTGGAGGGTGTGGTCACCCCTGCGATGCAGCCCCTTCCTTCCAAATAGCCCTTCACGTGCTCCAGCCTTCCGAGGTCCTGCCCTCTGCCTTTCTCTCTGCACAGGGTATCCAGCATCTTTTTATCAATGATTCCAGAGCTGAATAACTCTGCAGCTGTCACCTCCCCGCCAATGCCTGCCACCTTGATGACCGCGTTTTGCTTTTCTGTCTCTTCAACTGTAGCTCTGATGATTGCCACCAATTGCTCTGTGTTCACATTCTGGGCTCTGATCTCCTGAACAAGCTCCTGCTTCCTGTCCTCTGTGAAGTATTCGGAGGACAGCAGGTCCCAGAAAGAGACCATCTGACCAGCAAACCTTCCCACATGCATTTCCAGAGTTTTGGATTGCAGAACTTGCCTTGTGGCTTCATCAATACATGTGTAGGTTTCTCCTTTCTTTACAATTTGCAGCATGTAGAGGCCTGTCTCGGGGTCCTCCACGCAGCGCTCCAGCAGCTGCCGGTAGGTGAGGTTCTCGTGTGTGTTGGGGTCGAAGAAGCCCCTGGTGTTGTCGCCGGGGTCCGCCAGGATGCGGCTCATCTCCTCATCGAAGTAGCCACGCTCATAGGCCACGTGCACGGGCAGGCGGTGGCTGTGCACGGGGTCGATGATGCCGCCTGTGGCGATCTGGGCCTCCAGCAGGTGGATGCCATGGTCCCACACAATGAGGTCCTTCTTCATGGCCTGGAACAGGGAGAGCCGCTCGCCGGTGTAGGGGTCGGTGTATCCGGTGACGGCGCGCTCGGCCGACAGCAGCTTCTCCCGGATCTCGCCGCCCACCACACCCGCGGCCACCGCCTCCTCCACGGACAGCCTCTGGTTGCGCACGGGGTCGATGACGAAGCCGGTGGCCGCCTGCGCCTCCAGCAGCACCAGCGCCGTGCCCGGTCGCAGGACGCCCGTCCACATGGCCTGGTAGATGCTCATCTTCTCCTTTGTGCCCTGGATGAGGACCCCAGCGATGACGTTGCCTCCTTCCACGACCTGCCTCATGCCGTCCATCTCTGCCGCCTCCCTCACAGTCCTCCTGCCCTGATTCAGCTCATCCAGCGTCGTCTTGTTGATCAGCTGGGACCTGAAGAGGTCAGTGGCTGACACCTGCTTCCGGACCCCTCTCAAGGCAGTTTCTGAGGGCTGCCTCTCTGAGGCTTCAACCAGGGCAGTGACAGCACTGACCACCCACTTCAGGGCTGTGGCCCTTCCAGACTGGCAGAGAGCTGCTAGCTCTTGCCGCTTGTGAATGCCAATGTACTCTGAGTGCAGTAGGTCCCAGAGAGACACAGCGAGACCACTGAACCTCCCGGCACAGACAGGCACCTTCATGGCCTTCAGGGCTACCACTGTGTGGTTGTCTGCCTCCAACACCACATCCTCAGGGAGTGGTAACAGCCACAGGCCAGTGCTGGCATCCAGGACACATTGCTCCTTGAGCTGCTGGTACGTCACCTTTTCCCGAGCACTGGGATCAAAGAAGAACTTGTTGTCCTCATCTGTCGCAGTCAGTGCCCGGCCTGTGTGCTCATCCAAGAGGCCCAGCCTACAGGCTGCTGCCTGGGGCAGGTGCACCCCATGGGCAGGGTCCACTATGCCCCCTGTGGCCAGCTGCACCTGCAGGAGTGGGAGGCCCTCGCTCCAGGGCACAAGCCCCTTCCCCATAGCCTGCCACAGTGAGAGGCAAACCCCTGAGTCAGGGTCTGCATACCCGGTCACTGCCTGCTCGGCCCTCTGGAGCTGCTCAGTCAGTGCCCCGCCCACCAGGCCAGCCTTCACTGCATCCTCCACTGACAGCCTCTGGTTGGTCAGAGGATCGACAAGAAATCCAGACCCGACCTGGGCCTCCAGCAGTCTGTGCCCCAGGCCCACAGGCAGGAGGCCATCCCTCACAGCCTGGGCAATGCTCACCTTGGCCCCTGAGGGCTGCAGTACCACACCAGCCACACAGCCTGTGCCCCATAGGCAGTCCTTCACCATCGGCTGCTCAGCGACATCCACAGTTGAGCAGGTGCCTTGAGCCAGCGCTTCCAGGGTCTCCTGGGTGATGATGCCGGCATCCAGCAGCCGGACGGCAGGAAGCTCACCACGTGGGCCAGGCACTGTGACGCGGGCCCGCAGCAGGAGCTCCGCACCCCGCACCCACCTCTGCACGGCTGCCCGCAGCTGCTGCACAGGGGTCTTCCCCACCCTGAAGTCCTCCAAGAAGCCCCTCCGCTGTTGCTCGGTGAAGTGCCAGGAGCCCAGCAGCTCCCAGAGGGATGTGCCATCCTCAGTCCCTTGTGTGGCCTGCAGGGTCTCCTGGACTTGCTCATCTGTGAGGACGGCAGGAGAGCTTTCCAGAAGGGGCAGGAGATGAAGGCTAGAGGCCTCTTCCCTCAGACACTGCTCCATGAGGTGGGCATAGCTGGTGCGCCCCCGGCCGTCCAGCGTGGGGAAGGTCTCAGAGGAGCTGAGTAAGACTGTCTCCATCTCCTGGTCAATGCAGCCACGCTGGGTGGCCACGGGCATGGGGAGGTGGTGGTGGCCTATGGGGTCAATGACCCCTCCAGTGGCTACCTGGGCCTCCAAGAGGCAGATGGCTTGCTCCACAGGGACAAGGCCCTTCTTCATGGCCTGAAACAGGGACACACATGTCCCAGAGAAGGGGTCCCTGAATCCAGTGACGGCACCCTCGGCCCACCTCAGCCTGCCATAGAGCTCTGGCCCCACAAGCTGCCTGCACACAGCCTCGTCCACCGACAGGGTCTCCAGGCTATGGGGGTCAATAATGGCTCCAGTGGCTGCCTGGGCCTCCAGCAGGGCCAGGGCCACTCCTGGCCCCAGCAGCTTCTGCTTCATGGCCTGGTAGAGGCTGAGCCGCTGGCTGGAGGGTTGCAGCAGCACGCCACCCACAGCGCCCAGGCCGCTCAGGTGCTTGCGGACACTGTCCTTGCGCAGAAGGGCCTCAGGGCTGAGTGCCCCTGCCAGCACCTGGTCCAGGTGCTCCTGGTCAATGATGTGGGCCTCCAGGAGCTGGTGGACGGTGACTCGGCCCCTCAGTGTGGGCAGTGTGATGTCCGCCCACCTCTCCATGTCTCTCTCTAGGAGCTGTGCAACTTGCTCCAGGGAGGCCCTGTGCAGGCAGTGGTCCTGCAGGAGCTGCCTCCTCCGGTCCTCGCTGAAGTATTCCGAGTTGACCAGCTCCCACGCAGAGACCCTTTGCCCCTGGAACCGCCCATACTTCACTGACAGCAGCAGGCTCTGGAAGGCCTGCCGGGTGGCACTGTCCACCAGCTGGGGCTGTGTGGGGTTGAGTGGCAGGAGGCGCAGGCCCGTCTCGGGGTCCTCCACACAGCGCTCCAGCAGCTGCCGGTAGGTGAGGTTCTCGTGCGTATTGGGGTCGAAGAAGCCTTTGGTGTCATCGCCGGGGTCCGCCAGGATGCAGCTCATCTCCTCGTCGAAGTAGCCACGCTCGTAGGCCACGTGCACGGGCAGGCGGTGGCTGTGCACGGGGTCGATGATGCCGCCCGTGGCGATCTGGGCCTCCAGCAGGCGGATGCCGTGGTCGCGCACGATGAGGTCCTTCTTCATGGCCTGGAACAGGGAGAGCCGCTCTCCGGTGTAGGGGTCGGTGTAGCCGGTGACGGCGCGCTCAGCCGACAGCAGCTTGGTGAACACATTGGGCCCGATGACGAGAGTCCTCAGCGCCTCCTCCACAGAATATCTCTTGTTTTCTTTTGGGTCGATAATGAAGCCTGTGGCTGCCTGTGCCTCCAGGAGGACGAGGGCTGTGCCCGGCTTGAGAAGCCCCTTCCCACCAGCGTCATAGATGCTGAGCCGCTCCTGGGAGCCAGGCAGCAGCAGGCCAGCGATGCCACTGGTGCCCTGCAAGTACCTCCGCACAGAGTCCAGGCTGCCCACTTCCTGGGCTGTGGTCTCTCCTCGCTCCAGCTGCTCATACACATCCTTGTCAATGATTCCTGCTTTCAGCAACTCTCCAGATGTCACAGGGACCCTTAGCCCAGCAAAGGTGGTCCTGGCAGTGGCTGCAGCCTGCTCAAGAATAGTGGTCAGCGCAGATGCCAGCTCTCCCACTGAGAGGGCCCCCTCCTTGTGCTGCTGGGCCAGTGCCGCCCTTTGTGCCACTGGGACGGCATCGGAGAAGAGCAGCTCCCAGAGAGACATGGGCTGGCCCTGGAACCTTCCCACAGAGACAGTGGCCATGGCCGCACTCAAGGCCCGCCGGGTGCTGTGCTCAATGAACGGGGGCCCCTGTGGCTCTTCTCCAAGGGCCCCACCTGAGATGGGCAGGAAGGCCAGCCCTGTCTCTGGGTCAGTGGCACAGCGGGCCAGCAGCTGCCCATAACCAAGGCTCTCCCCTGTGCTGGGGTCCAGGAAGCCAGTGGTCTGAGAGAGGCACTGCTCTGTCTCTTTGTCCAGGCAGGCAAAATGCAGAGCGGCCTCCAGGGGCAGCCGGAGCCTGCGGGATGGACACACTAGCCCGCCTGTGGCCAGCTGGGCATCCAGAAGCCGCAGTGCCAGAGGCCTGTCCACCAGTCCCTTCTTCATAGCCTGGAAAAGGGGGACCTGCGTGCCACTGAAGGGGTCATGGTACCCAGTCACCGCCTGCTCTGCCACCAGGAGCTGCCTGTAGAGCTCTGGGCCAACGAGGCCCGCCCTTACTGCCTCATCCAGCCACAGTGGCCGGCCAGTGGCTGGGTCCACCAGTGTGCAGGTGGCAGCCTGAGCCTCCAGGAGCTGGACAGCAGCGCCCAGGGGGAGCAGGTGCTCAGTGATGGCCCAGAAGAAGCTCTTCTTGTGGTTGGAGGGCAGCAGGACGACACCAGCCATTCCACCGGTGCCCTGCAGATAGCGGCGCACCTCGGCTCGCGTGCTCACATCCTCCACAGCCAGCCTGCCCTCCCGCAGGTCCTGGGCTGTACCCTCGCCTAGGATCCCTACCTCCAGCAGCTCAGCCAAGCTCACTGCCCCGCTCAGGGTGCGGAAAGTGGTCTTGAGGGGCAGCAGGGCCAGCCCTGAGCCAGGGGCCCGCACGCACCTCCCCAGCAGCTCGCTGTAGGGCAGCTGCTCTAGTGTGTTGGGGTCCATGAAGCCCGGAATGCCAGAACTGGGTCTGCGCTCTGCCAGGCCCTGCCACACCTCCTGGTCCAGGAGGCCCTGCTGGCAGGCCAGCTCTGGGGCCATGCGCATACCCTGGACGGGGTCTATCAGGCCCCCAGTAGCCAGCTGGGCCTCCAGCCAGCTCCACCCCCGTGCCCTGTCCACAACCTGCTTCCCGATGGCCTGGAAGAGAGCCAGCCTCCCACACCCGTAGGGGTCAGGGTACCCAGTGACTGCACACTCAGCAAACAACAGCTTCTCCCTCACCTCCAGGCCCACTAGGCCCTGCTGCAGGGCCTCGGACACGGGGAGCAGCTGGCCCTGGGTGGGGTCCACAAGGCCCCCAGTGGCTGCCTGGGCCTCCAGCAGAGCCAGCCCAAGGCCAGTGGGCAGGAGGCCCTGCTTCATGGCAGCATAGAGACTCCAGGTCTGGCCTGAGGCCTCCACAAGCACCCCAGCAATGCTCTTGGGCTGGGTGGATGAGGTGGCCTCAGCTCGGGACCCAGAAGGGGTGCTGGCTCCCAACACGGTCTTCAAGGTTTTGGGGACAGTGGGTGGCTCAGTGCCATTGATGACCAGGACATCAGAAGGAGAGGTGTGGCCGTTCATCGTGCCTGTTGGTCGTGCAGCACTCACTCACCCAGGGTTCGTCGTGTCTGTTCCCTGTAGGGAATGGAGAGGTTCCATTAGGGACCCTGGGAGGGCCCAGGCAGGTGGGAGGGAAGACCTAGTCAGGGGCCAGTCTCAGACCCTAGACCTGCCTCCAGAACTGGCCAGCCCTCCTGGGGGACAAGGCCCAGCATGCAGGGGAGGCGGCTCCCGGGAGGGATCGTGTGAACACTGGGCCTGAGGTCAGCAGGGTGGCCTCCAGGACTCATGGGCTGCTTTCTCCTGCCGGCCATCCTCTGGCCTCCAACTCCCTGGACTCCCCTGACCCTGTTTGCTACAGTCGGGGCTCAGCCATGCACCCACCCTCAGCCTCACCTTCCAACCACTCGGTCCACCCCCCTGATACCCACAGGCCCCACCCCAACCCCGCCACCCCATGGGTGGTCTCCATGTGTTTGTGGACACCAGCACCCCACCTCATTATTCCTCCACCTCCCCTCTTCTGGTGACCTTCCCCAAACCCAGACCTGCTGCTACAGACGCCTCTGCTCGGGCCTCGGCTCCCTCCCAGCTCCCCAGTAAGCTCCAGGCAGACCCCTGCCGTCTGACCCCTGAGGTCTCTGCCTCAGCCTGGCTCCAAGTCCTCCTCTGCCCACCCCAAGCCCTGTGCCCTCTGGGCTGTGTCACCTCTGTGCTTACACCCAGCCTGGGGGCCCTGGGAGGCCAAAGACTCACTGCCTATGTGCTGGTCCTGTCTCCTGGCACTGCCAGGCCCTGGACGGCTGGCTACAAGTCCCTGCCACCCCCATGGCTGCCCCTTCTCAGCAGAGAGCTGTGTGCCCTGATTCTCTGGGCAGCAGTGACAGGGGTCTGACCTCCCACATCACACCTGTACACCGACCTTCACCTAGACCTGTCCCCTTCTATGCCAAGTTGAACTGTGTCCCTCAGAAAGGTGTGTCCAAGTCCTAACCCCCCGTCCATCTGACTGTGGCATCACTTGGAGTAGGGTCTTTGTAGAAGTAACGAAGTTGAAATGAGGTCACATGGCAGTCAGGGATCCCCAACCCAACACAACAGGAAGAGGGGGCAGTGGGGGTGTGCCAAGATGGCGAAAGCTGAGGGCTATGTGCGACGCCCTGACCCCAGACTCTGGTCAGCAGAGCTGAGAGAATAGGTCCCACCTGTGGCAATTGTGCTGCCAGCCCAGGAAATGGCTGCCTCTCTCTATCCTCTGCCCTGTTAACAGGTCCGCCCCTCAGAACCACTCCCACCCCAGCCCTGGCCCACACCCCAGGGCGGCTGGCCTGGGGCCTCAGCTCTGCACTCGCCCTCTGACCCCACCCGCAGCCCCTGCTAAGGGGACCCTGGACTCTGGCCGCCAAGCCCAACAAAAGCATTTCAGATCTGAGCACCGTGCACCTCTGGGTCACGGGGCGTGGGGACCTTTCTCCTTGGGGATACGGTCTGCTCTGTCTTATTTACCCATTAAATCAGACAGCCCTGTGGACTGCCTCGAGCCCCTAAATCCACACCTTGAGCCCAGCCTGTCCTGATGCCCCAGTACCACGAGTAGTGGCCTCGCAAGGAGCCAAAACCTCTCAGCACCCCTGTGATGGGCTCGCCCAGCCCGCCCTGCAGGCCTGGGCCCTGAGCCCTTCACACTGCTCTCCCCCGGCTGGCCCCACGAGCGCAGCCCTCCATGCTGCCCCCCTCAGGGGGTGCCCGGTGGTCTCCCCGGCACACCTTGGCCTCAGCTCATGGCATCTGCTGTGTCACTCAAACCAGCCTCCCTGCTGTCCTCCAGCCCCCTGAGCAACGCAGGGTCAGCAGAGGAGCGTGGAAGTGGGGGCTGAGGCCTTTGATGTCATTCACACCTGGTGGGCTGGCTGCTTCCGGGTGCTGCCCAGACCCCACTGGGGAAAACCGGCCCTGGCCCCACCTCAGGGAGGGCCTTGGGAAGACACCCCGGTGGTGCCCCTCTCAAACCTCTCCCCCTAAGGTCACTTCCAGGGGCTGCCCAGGCTTGGTCCCTTGATTCTGCTTTGGGCTTGGATGGCACGGCCCACAGGGCTGCCTGCTGAGACGGCACTGAGCCCACCCTGGGCGAGAAGCCTGCTCCCTTTCCCTTGCACAGACACTGAGCCCGACCCTCCAGCACACAGATGTCCTGCAGCAGGTCTGCTACTCAGTACCTCAGACAGCCGGTGCTGGGGCCAGGTGGGCAGCAGGGGAGCCTGGGGGAGTCTGCCACCACTGCCTGGCCCTCAGAGCTGCTAGTCACAAGGAGAGCAGGCTGTGCCAGCGGGCGGGTGCAGGGTGCAAGATCTGGCTTCCAGGCAGACAAGAGCAGAGGTGGCGCATTAGGAGGCAGTCGTGAGGCCACCAGACTTTGGAGAAAGATCACAAAGCGCTGAGAGTGGCCAGCTGGACAACCAGAACCCATGTGGCCTCCTAGGGCCTCACGGTGGTCAGTGGGGAGGCTCCGGTGTCTGCAGGGCAGGGCAGGCTGAGGAGGCTCTGTCGTGAGGGCCCCTGCCCCAGGAGAGGGGGCACTGCTCTAAATGCGAAGCTCCCTGTCCCAGCAGGTGGACCGCATGGGTCCAGGAACCACTGCGTGAGCAGGCGTGACCCCCACCATGCCCCTGGAGACCCAGAGGGAGCTTAGGCTCCCCCTCCCTGAAGTTCTGGAGCGAGTCCTGGAAGAGGACCACTTCTGCCAGAGGACACAGGTGTCTAGGCCCCAGAGACCAGAAGAGGAGTGCCCACCAGGCAGGGGACTGACCTGGCCACCAGGCTGGGACCTTGTGATGCCAGGGTTGCACCCTGGTGGCTCGCAGGCTCCTCCCCTGCCCTGTTCCAGCAGCAGCAGGACCAGGGGAGCATGAGCCCAGCAGATGTGTAGCAAGTGTGAAGGGAATGAGGAGGGGATCACAGAGAGGAGACTGGGAGGGTGGGGTGCACCTCAGACCCTGCACTGGCAGGGCTGGGGTCCGCCCTGCTCACCCTCTCCTCACGCACCTCCTCAGGAAGAGAAGCCTGCGGCAACAGTGTCGCTGTGGTGAATGCCGGCTGCCCTGACCAGTAGCCTCTGGGGGCAGGTGGGAGGCACCATGGGCCAGCCCTTCCCTATACCCGTTGCTCCCTCCTCCTGTCCACAGGGACCGCCCTGAGCCCCTTTCATAGTGGTCTCTGCGTCAGCCTGCTTCTGGGGCCTAACCTGCCGTGTGCCCTCCGCCTGCCCACACCCAGCACCGGCCTCCTTTGCCAAGTGTCTGGTCCCAGGACCGCTTCCAGTGGGTCTGTGGGCCTGAGGGGGCCATGAGGCACCTGCCCTGCCCTGCTCACGGCAGGAGCGCCAGGAAGCGGGGATACAAGGCAGTGAGAAGACTATGCTTGTCAGGACAAAGGTGGGGAGAAATGAGAGGTGACTCACTACCTAGAAAAGGGGGCCCCACCGGCCCAGAGCCCAGACGCTGTGCTGCGGTGAGGAGGAGGCGCCAGCGCACCTCAGCGAGCAGGGGCTCTGGTTTCCCACAGAAAGGGGGTTCAGGGCTGGTGACCGGGGGCAAGGAGGGTGCGCTGGGCCTGGAGGCTGTGGGCTCCTCCCCATTCCACTTGCAGTGTCCTTGGGCCTGGCACAGGTCTCCCTGGGCCCCGCCCAGCGGACACGAGGAGGGTCCTGGGAGTGGGTGCTCAGTCTGCGGGGGGCGCCTCGAGGACGCAGCTGCAGGGGGGACAGACCAGGGCATGTGAGGGGCACTCAGAGCCTGGGGAGCAGTTTCAAGGGTGGGAGACCCTTGGTGGATGTTACAGAAGCCAGAGACCACTGTCCCAGAGGGCAGCCACTAGCGTAAGTGGGTTGGGTGTGACCAAGGGGCTGGTGGCCTTGGGGCTGGGGGAGGGAGGCTAGGATGTCTCAGGATGGCAAAAAGAATCTGAGACAGACGGAGGACCCTTCTGGTGGCTTCCCTGGAGTGGTTCCACCGCAGATGGCCGGAACGGCCAGGGACATGAGGGCAGTTCCTGAGAAGGGTGGGTCTACGTCCTTGGGCGCGCGCTGTTCGCTGCTGGCAGTCACCAGCCCGAGGGGAAGAAGGGAAGCGCACCCGGCACCCGGCACCCTCAGCCTGGGGCGGAGTGGGGGCAGGGGGCCGGCTGTCCTGGGCCAGGTCAGAGCAGAACCACCTGGCGGAGCTGCCTCGGGCGCACGCAGGGAGGCAACCACCTGGGCCTTTGCCCCACTGTTAGCACTGTTGGCCGCCTGCACGGGGCAGAGATCGATGGCCGATAGAAGCTTGGCATGATGGGCAGATGGTGGGCCGGGCTCACAGCGGGCTCTGCCCCTCCCGCGCTGCCGACCACGGACCCTGAGCTGATCCCACGTGGCGCCCCGGTGCCCCCCCCAACACTGGCGGCTGACCTCGTGGGTCAGCGCCGGCCGCCCGCACCCCAGCCCCCGGCCCGGAGCCCTCAATTTGTCAGCCTAAGTGCCTCGCGCGCCGTCGGGGGCCCTAGCCGCTCGGGCCGCAGACGCCCCCTTCTGCCCCGGAAGAGGGGGGACAGAAGAATCGGACCCGCGGGACCCACCCACAGCGGCGCGCCCGTCTCGCCAGGAAACGCCGGGCAGGCGAGCCCCCCCCCCGGGGAGCCCGGACCCCCGCTCACCGGCGGTGCAGGGAGGCCGTCGGGCCGGAGCTCAGACCGCCCGCTGCAGGAGGGAACGAGCCGAGGCCTGGGGCTCCTCAGGGCCCGCCTGCCGCCCGGCGCTCCGTCCGCAGCCCCGCGCACTCCTCGGCCGCGCCGGCGCCGCCCGCGCTTAAACCGGCCTGGCCCCTCCCGCGGCGCCCCGCCCCGTCAGGGTGGGGCCCGCAGGGACCGCGCCCCGCGCCGCGAGGCCCGCCGTCGGTGCGCAGGGCTGGAGCTTAGGGCCGGGGTCCGCCCCCTCCGACCGTCCGCCCCGCCCCGGGGCCACCGCGGAGGGACGCGGGGCGGGACTGCGTCCGCGTGGGGTTTGCCGGGGACGTGAGGGCGCCGGCGCCTGCGGCCTTGCGCCCACCGTGGGGAGACTGTCGCCCAGAGCCGCAGCAGGCTGGCAGGGCCGGTGCTCCCTCCGCTGCTGCTCGGTCCTGGGTCTGCCGTACCTCAGGGGCCCCCTTCCCCGCGCCCCGCCTCGGCCTTGACCTTGGAAGAGCTGGGGTCTCTATGCCCCTAGGGGGCTCCCAGTCCTGTCTGAAAGGCATGCAGCCCTCACCCCCTCCACCTAGGCTCAGACGGGGTCCCCTGTCCACCCAGGAGGGGCTGGTGCTCCTCTCAGACGCGCACCCTAGCACCCACCCTCAGGGACAGGGCTGCTGGCAGAAATGTGGATGGACACCCTGAGCCTTGGCGCTGGCCTGCTGGGGGCCATGGCTCCAGGCTCTGCCGCTCCCAGACGGACAGGGGCAGGGCCCAGGGCTCTCCTCCGGCCCCCAGCCCTAGCCCTCCCCTCTATCCAGGTCCTTCTCGCCTGGGTGCTGATCCAGGGCCACCTTGAGACTCCTGCTCAGGCACGGGGGGTGGGGGCCCAGGCTTCCCAGGCACAGGGTGCTGGGGTCGGCTCCCATGGCTCTGTCTGAGCCCCCACCCACCAGGCCCACGCCTGCTCACTGAGACGGCCTGGATCCCGGGCTGGCCTCTGGCCACCTGTGTACTTGTCCCCTCCACACTGTGTGGCTGCTGCTGGCCACTGCAGAACCCTGAGCCGGACAGAGCAATGAGCTCTGGCCTGGCTCGTGTCCCTGCAAGGTGTGCTGGACCAATCACGTCCATGCCAAGCCCTGGTCACCAGATGCCAAGACACTGCCCAGATGTCCTTCTGGGAAGTGTAGCTGCGCTGGCCACGGTCTGCGGCCCAGGGTTCACCCTGGGCAGTTTCTTCCTGTGGCCGAGCCCTTGCAGGCAGCAGTACTGCCAGGCCACGACGTCCAGGTGTGAGCTAGCCCCTCACTGCAGGAAGAAAGGGAGGCCCACGAGGCTTGGGGCCTGTCCCGTGCCAGGGTAGCCAGGCTGTGCAGCTGGCCGCACCCTCACTGCGCCCGCTGTTCCTGTTCCCGGCTGCTCCTGCTCAGCTGTTCTGGGGGACAAGCCCGGGTGACTCTCCTGCTCCCAGGCCTCAGGCTGTTCCTGGGCTCGGCCCCTCAGAGCCACACCTACCCCAACGGTGGGTCCAGGGCTTCAACCCAGCTGCTCCGGGGGCAGTGGCAGCCTCTCCAGCCCCCAAGCCTAGGCCAGCACTGCCTAAATGGCAGGGAGGGGCAAGGGGGTCAGGAGACCACCAAGGTGAGCTCCTTGTATCCAATCCTGCCCCTGCTCTAGCTGCTGCCACCGCTCTCTGGAGCCAGTGTCTCCCAGAGCCCCTCAGGAGCTGTCCCCAGCCCTGTAGGCTGCCCCGTTTCTCCCAGAGCACCTGCAGGGCAGAGGGGTGCTCTGCGGACATGGTCCAAGGAAGGGGTCACAGGACACCAAAGAGCAGTGACGCCGTGCTGGTCCTGGCCTGGTTCAGGAGGTCGCCGTAGGGGCTGAGGTCCCTGGCCACAGGTGTGCCTTGGCCCAGCTCCTCCCTGGGGTGGTATGAGTCACTTCTCCACGTTGCCAGCTGGGTGAGCAGTGCCACTGGCTCCTCTGGGAGGCACAGCCTAGAGCAGTGGTATGCGGGGTGCAGGGCCAGGAGGAATTGGGGTGGGTGGGCACCAAGCAGAGTGGTGGGCCACCCTCCCTATCAAAGCCTGGACACCACAGCCAGGCAGCCCAGACACTCCAGCAGCAGGCCCAGGTGACGGGTACCGTGGCAGGTGTCCCCTCCTGCAAAGACACCGACAGGGGTCAGGGAGAGTTGAGGGCAGGGAAAGGGAGAGGGGGCCGAGGTGGGACCCACTCCGCTGACTCTCAGTCTGGGCCTCGAGGTCGTGTTGAACTAGGAAAGGTGCCCGACCTGCACTTCGGAATTAAATTTCTTTCTATCTTGCTCAAAATACATATGTGCCTTCCAGTTACTGTGTAAATGAGTCATAAATTGTGAACTTAATTGAGAGCTTCACTTGACAGAATAAGTGGGAGGTGTGCCCAGAGGCCTGAGCCCTCTCGGTCCCCACCAGGGCAGTGAAGAGGCGGGAGAGGCTGTCCCCAGGGGGTCACTGTCCCTGGCTGGGCGCTCTGTACCTCTGGCCCTGCCCCTGCCAGAAGAGCAGGGTGGCCTTGTCGTGGGACCTGGGTTGCCTGCGGAATGGGACAGCATCTGGATCTCCCAGGAACCCTCTGGTCCACCCTGCCCACCCCACTCCCCTTCCTTCTGCACCCTCTTCACCTCCCAGGAGGGTAGGTTTCTGCAGGGCATGCAGGGCTCCAGCCCCAGGGCCAAGACATTCCGCTTGCCTAGGCCGACCCTCTCCTCACACGGACTCCATCCCCCAAAGCCTCCCTCCAGCACTTCCTCGCCGACCACCCAGCTCCACGAGGCCCCGTCAGATCTGCTCAGCCCGCCTCCATGTGGCCCACTGTCCTGCTCCTGAGATGGGGCAGTCAGTCATGCTCTCCCTGCACTGGCACACTTCCCACCCAGGCCCCACAGCCTCAGCTGGCCTCTGCCCACTGCACCAGGCCACCCACAGGGCTTGCAGCACAGCTGGTCTCTGTGCCTCTGCACCTTCAGCAGCACCTGCCCTGCACGCTCCTCCAGCAGGAGCCAGAGCAGCTGTCAAGCGTGGCCATGGGGCTGGGGGCCATCACTGTGTGCTGGTGGCCTGAGACTCAGAGGAGGACTCAGGTCCTCAGGTGCGCCCGCCCAGCCCTGTCCCCCATGCCCCGTATCTCTTGTTCCCTGCAGCTGGGCAGTGGCCACCACGGCGTCAGGTGGCAGGGTTCCCTGAAGGCCTGCAGCTCCTCCATGCATCCAGCCTGCTGCAAAGCGTGTGCAGGCACCCCAGGGGCAGCTACAGCAGGGACACAGGCAGCCCCTCTGGGCTGAGCCTGGGCCTTCACCCGACCCCAGGTCGCCCTGCCTTACCAGGCCCAGTCACTCCCCTGGCTAACCAGGCCCCACTCCGTGGCTTCCATCACCACCAGCTCACCTAGGTCACCTTCACTGCGCAGGGAGACCCCTGGTGTGAGCAAGCCCCTGCCCGACTCCCTCCTCAAGCAGCCCAGGGGCTGGTTTTCCCAGAGGATGAAGCACAGTCCACGCAGCCTTGGCTGAGGGCGGCGGGACGCTGCCGGTGGCCTCATTGTGGCAGGGCAAGGGGTCCTGAAATGGGTTGGGGGAGCCCCACAGTCTGCCCAGCACCCGTGTCCCTGCAGATCAGGCTCACGCTAGAGGCTCACACGCGTGGACTTGCCCTCTGGGAGGTCACTGCTGGTGGTCCTGGCCAGAGCAGGCTCAGACACGCATCTCCCAGCCTTTGGGGCTGTGCGGCTGCAGGAGCCCTGGAGCTGTGGGCACCCTGGCCCATGGGCACCTGCCCTGGCCTCGCCCTCCTGCCCAGCTGCCATCCCCAGCTCCCCTCAGCCTGCTGCCTGCTGCCTGCTGCCTGGGACAGTCCCCACCCTCAGCGGTGGGAGATGGGGGGGCTGGGGAAGAGGCTGCAGGGCTGGCACTTCCCACTGCTATCCCCCCAGTCTCACTGCACAGGGGCTCCCACCCCGCCCTCCTGCCCTGCTGGGGGCCATGGAAGTGTGCCTGCCCTGAGGTGAACCTGGGGGTCAGGGGAGACGGGGCAGTGCACACACTTTGGGGGTCTCTCTGACTGAATCCATGAACCTGCGTCTGCAGAACCACCTCTGGGATCCCCACCTCCTCCTCAGCAGCCACGAAGACCCTCCTCAGCCCCACCCTGGGCCCCTGGGCCATACCCGCCTCCCACCTCCACATGGCCTCACCTGTCTCTCCCTCCTGCAGCCACCCCACCCCTGGGGCCTGGACGCCCCTCCACCCAAGGCTTCCTGACTGGCTCTTGCTCCAGGAACCACATGCTTTGGCCGCACCCTCCCCACCCAGCCTGGAATGAGCCACCTCCTCCTCTGGCCTGGGAGCCCCTTTTCCCAGGCCTACTGGACAAGAGGGCAACTCCCACTGAAGTGTGTTCCAGGCCGCCGCTGGCTGATGGCTTTCCAATGTGCTCTGTGGGTGGGTGGTGGGGTGGGCACCCATGTGGACTCATTCATTCATCTGTGGATGTCTTCATTGGACGTTGCCTTCTACTATGGAGTGGACACTGTCCAGACAAGCCACGGACCTTCCCATATCCATCACCATGCTGGCACCAGAACCCCCAGGAGCCTGCCCTCCGCCCATAGGGGTGTGCCCCAAGGTCCAGCCTGCGAGGGAAGGGGACCCCAGGCTTTGGGGAGCCCGGGGCATGGACTGGCCCCTGGCTACCTGAGCAGAGAGCCTTGGGGAGCCCTGAGTGCTCCGCTCCCCTGCCTGAGCCTGGTTTTTTTTTCAGGGTTTGTCCTGCTGTTGCTCTGGGAACTTCCCATCGGAAAATATTGTGTGGCGTGGGCAGCAGGCAGGCCAGGGCAGGCTGCAGGCGGGCTGTGGGCGGATAGGTGGAGGGTGCCTCTCCCAGCAGGGGCTCGCCTGTCCCACCCTCCAGTATGGCCCACACTGCCCTCTCTTTCTCTTTTCAGGCCCCACCTGGCCTGGGGGTGCCTAGAATGTGGGCTCCTGAGGGGAGCTCAGCTCAGACCTGGTGCCCACCTAGCTGCAGGCGGGGGGTGTCCTCTCAATGAGTCTCAGGGCCAGAGACCTCATCTGGTCTCAGGGCCTCTGCCCCAG